TGTTTAGGTTTTATGTCTGTCTTTGAATTTTGACTTTTAAAGTGATTTAATTCATTTTTAGTTTAGTCGAACTGATGATGGAGCTGGACTCCGAAACGTTTTCAATATCGATATGGTGAATTTTCTTGGCGTTTTCTTTGCTTTTAGGTTTCTTGTGAACTTGCGATATAAGCAGACTAATGATATAAGTACTTATATACGATCTAAATATGGCTGTGTAATTTGTCCGCTCTGTAATTGGGGCTGCATAATTATTGTAGTTGATTAATTAATAATAATTGCGGTCACCAAATCACACACACTCAATATTTCGCCACTCCACCACACACGATCACATCAACAAAACACTCATCGTTCGAAGCCACAAACACAAACACACAGCAGACACCCACAAACAAACGTTACGTGCGACCACCAACAACTGAACACAATAATGCTTGACTTGCGGGAGCGATACTCACGTCTGGTGTCATAAAGAACTCCGTTGAGCTCGGCGAAGCAAGAGATGGTTGACAGAGACCCTGGTCCTGTCTCTGGCCAGCAGGAGGCGCCATCGAACTTGTATTGACAATTTCTGTAGTCCAGCGTCTCATTCTTAACTTTCTCCCAGAAGCTTTGGAAGCAGTTCTGCCACGGCACCATATTTGAATTACGCATCGCGGCCGACCTCTGCGCGAACTCTTCCAGTCTGAAGGAATACTGTAGGTTGTCGAAGCTCCCACTATAGTAATGGTCATCGTATTCGTGATCGTCTTTGTGGGTAACATTGCCAGGGAGGGCAGTGTTGTAGGGATCATCATCGTAGAGTGTAGACAACACCTCGTCGAGGTTACTGTGATGATTAGAAGATGATTGTGATGTGCCAGAGAGAACAGAGTTGCGTTCAGTGTCTGGTGACAAACCAGGAGCGGGGGTTGGGGAAAGCAAAGCGGTCGGGTACACAGGGTTGTTGTTATGTGATAGGTTGCTGAGGACATTAGTGAAGTTTTCCATATCCAAGTTAAATAGTTCATTAATCACCACTGTTCATGCTACTGTTTAAGTTGTTTTGTTTCAATATTAATATTAATTACGCTACGCTCACATTTGTCTATAACATCATCCATAAATCAGGATATTGAAGTTTTAGCTTACTCTACACAACGCAAATTTGGTCACAATATTCTTCATAATTTGTTCTGGAAATTTGGCAAAAATTATTGGAGATAGTTTTTATTTATTAACTAATAAATATAAAAAATGACTTGATAAAATTTCTCATCACGTGCAAGTCTCGTGTCCTCGGCAGTTCAGTGAGAGCCTGTAACTGACTGCATGTGTCAAGGCTTAGATTAACCTAAAGAGTATATATGTCATGCCGAAATCACGGAATTGCCGATTCTATGAAATAGGCAGCCAGTTTGCTGAACCTGTAGAATCAGCATTTCGTTGCTGATTCAGAAAATCGGACGTTAGAGTTAGAGTTAGTACATAATTGGACAGATAGAGTTAGAAAAGGTTAAGTCAAGTTCGGCCAGTTTCCTTTATGTTTAAATATTAAAAAAAAATAACTTGGCTGACTGACCTAACCCCAGATTCCTATAGTATAGATATGCTGATTCTAAAGATTCGGCAAATGGGCTGCCGATTCCATGGAATCGGTAATTCCGCTATTTCGGCACGACATTTATGCAATTTCTCTATTGTGCATCTAAACAGCGCTGTGTATATTCTGTTATCGCTGTTAATTACTCTCTTAACCTCTACTCTCATACCTGGAAAATATGCATACATGTTCGCTGTTGTTGGTACAAAACTCTGTTTATTGCTAGGAGAATTCACTGTATAGCAATGAATTGATCTCTCCTATTTTATTGCTAGGAGAGCTAACTGTATAGGAATGAACTGATCTCCCCTATTTTATTGCTAGGAGAGCCAACTGTATAGGAATGAACTTATCTCCCCTATTTTATTGCTAGGAGAGCTCACTGTATCTACCTGACAATATACGGAGTGTATATAGTGAAGAGTTAAGTAAACATCCGACTGATAGCGTGTCTCAGTAGCCCGTAATGGCCTCCTGTTAATTAACACTTGCCCAGCAATTTCATATTCGTTGTTGTTCTAGTGAACATTCTTGATATTTCAACGTTAATGTTGTTTTGAAGTTGAACAGAGTATCTCTGATACATCTAATAGCAAAGACGATCGCTTTACAGCCGGCATGCCTTCTTCTGAGCAGTTGCGTATGAAGACGAGCGCATGAACACTCAAATAATGAAAGGATTAAATTGTTCAAATAGTGACACACTTCCTCAAATACAGCAGGAGGGAAGAGCTGCTGTAGCACCGATATGTGTTTGTGTCAGGCCAAGGTGGGTCAGGATGATGAGCACACGGGCAAAAAGTGCATATCTATATTTGGACAAAATCTCACAGGTTTCTCTTGGTGTGGAGCTTTCGACTCACGCTACTCATGCAAGACTGGCATTAAAGCATGATTCTTTAATCGCTCATATGCACTAAGTAATCTATTGCATTTGGTTTTTGTGTGATTTTTATTTTATGTATCGATGGAAATCGCAAGCATTTCCTTCGTTTGCCCCTTTAATATAGCACTTATTGAGAGATCACAATTCCTAGAGGTCACCAGGCCATAATGATCACCTAAAAAATAAACACTGAAGGCTTGGTTCACTCCATAGAGCCAGTCACGTTCCTGGCAGAAGATATTTTGACCGGAACGTGACGGCAACGTTGCCAACTTTTTTTTTGCTGCGTATATCAGATTGCCAGCTCAACATTCAGCTTTTAGCAAACGTTCCAGATCCAAGATCCTCATACATGACACCATCTCAGCACTCCAAATTTATGGTCTGGAAATATACCAGTTGGAAACGCTGCGTGACTGGCACGATACGTGATACGGAAGGATCTGAAATGAGGCCGGCCCGTGACCGGATTGGACATAAGAATGCACTTGGCTGGGAACGGACCGTGACTGCCATATGCCTTGCAGTATGGTGTGAACCAAACCTTAAAGCACGCATTTAATGTACACTGGCGTAGAATGTGTAGACTGTAACACTCACTGGCGTGTATGTTTACTGCGCCACACAACCTATGTAACACATTTTATTCTCTTATGATTTGGTACATATCGTACTTGATACAAGCATTGCTGCAGGCAAGTAGCCTGATTACCTTAACATTTATGGGCAAAAATTTTCTTTGTATCATTTGATACTAGCTGCATTTAGGAATTAAATATTCGAATTGGTTTGAAGCCTTACGCCGCAATTTATTATATAGGGGCTGTTGGGGCGCGTATCCAGGATACTTATGGCGCCGCAATATATAGGAGCTGTTGGGGCGCGTATCCAGGATACATATGGCGCCGCAATATATAGGGGCTGTTGGGGCGCGTATCCAGGATACTTATGGCGCCGCAATATATAGGGGCTGTTGCGGCGCGTATCCAGGATTCTTATGGCGCTGCAATATATACATTTATTTCAACATTTAATATCCTGGATACGCGCCCAGGATTACGCTCCCATTTATTACTATTTATTACTTACTAGATATTGAAAAGGTGGTTTTTATTAGGTCTATTTGAATTAGTTTACCTTCATTTGGAAATCATTCACGAAAGTTGAATAAAATTAGCATAAAAGGACGAAGTTCTCAAATCTCATGGATTATCTTTCCCGAGCGTCGGGCTGGACTGCTAATAAAACGCAACAAAAATATTTCATTTTGTCATTACCAAAATTGCTCCCATCTGATGACGCAGTTCCAGAGACCAAACACTGGGTTGGTTGGCCGCGTCACAGCGACGTAAATTGTGCTGTCAAACTTGAAAAATGCGTCGCGAGAAATATTGTCAAACGAATAACAATTTCGTGGCTATTCGTAGCCACAAAAATATAGAAAAAAGTTGTACACTTTCTGGGTGCTCCTCAATCAATTAACGTCGAGGTTACGAACCATCTACCCCCTTACCCCCCCGCGATGAGCCTCACAAAACCCCTCTCCTTAATTGCGAATGTTGCGGCCTCTTTTTGATAGAATTTAATTTCCTATCAACGTGCAAGTGTTGAGTTACATTCACTTATTAAGCAAATATACACATATTGCTCTTCTCTCTTGATCTTATAAGAGTTTTTATCATGATCCGTGCTCATTTTATTGTAATTTGCTGTAGAAATTTAAACTATGTTTTAAATTTATTGAGAGTTGATAGTTGACTTATTGGGTTATTATTGCATCTGCAGGATGTCATAATAAGTTGATATTATTAGTTGTTCCTTTACTAATTGATGTATCGCGTATACAAGGTACTTATCCCCAACTACTTATCTCCAGGTACTTATCGTACCAGGATATTAACTTGACCTGAAAATTTATTCCTAGTAGGAGAATAGGAATAAATGGAATGATCGGATTGCCGGATCGGATTTTATTTTAAAAGCCGCATGAAATTCTTCCACGCTTACGTCACCCGAAGCCTCTGTATGGCCTCTTCCCATGAGTTTATCCAACGTACCCCACAGCGCTCGAGGATCGCTGCGTTGCGCGTCGACTCTCTGGTGGCGCCAAAATGACTCTCTTTTAGATCGAAGAAGGGCGACCTAATTGCGCCGCGCATCTCGCCTGGTGGAGGCCACAGCAGCGGCAGCAGCAGGATTGCCGCGTCTTTTCGCCCGGCAAACAGCCCGCTGGAGCAGTCGAACCCCCGCTTCGAGACTTGACAATCATCGTCGAAACATGGGTACGAGACTCGTTGGGGTACCCGAACTGTGCGTGCAGGAATGAGGTTATCGAGTGTACAGGTCAGCTCGGTATTGTAGAGTTGCGCTAGATCATTAACTAATAGTGCCGACCATGAGAAGGGCCGAGATAGTCGGGGCGACTGTAATTTTGCGCATAAGACGTAGCCATCGAGACTGCGTCACGGACGACAGGTAACGGTCTTGTATGTTGGTACCGGGCGCACACGTGGCACCGCCCACTAAAGTAGTCGATGGTCGGATATTGCAATCTCGATGATGTCAACTGGCAGATTTTGAAGGTCAACACGTGTGATGAGAACGTCCAGCAGTCCGCCCATTTCGTGCGTCGGCAAGGTCACGTGACAAACCATGCCGAAGGTGGCCGGAAGGTCGATCAGCTGACGAGCCGATGGGTCTTCGACGCGATTCAGTCAAACGTTAAAATCGCCGGCGATAAGGACATGATCGGGGAAAATCTGGTCTGGTGAAGGCATCGCTCAATACGACAAAAGAATCGCGCGCCACAGCAACCGATCCACAGGACGCTAGATGATGCAACGCCCGTAAACGATCGAGACGCAGGTGACCCTAGCACATATATAGCAGTTCAAAAATGGTGGGTCGGGTGCCGATGTCAAGAATAGTAAGGTGCACGCCCCTGTTGGCGACGGAAGATACTCCACCGTAATTCGTCGCCAGGGCGTCGGTTTGCAAGCGGGGCCGCGCGCGCTCGACTACCTGGAGTCCTTCAGCGCGAAGACGCGCGAAACAGACCGAGTCAGCGTCGGGCCATGTCTCGATCAGGAAAACTACATCTAGTGAGTGCGAGCGAAAGATGTGAAGAAACTCGTCAACCTTATTATTCAGCGAACGCATGTTGAGGCAGCCGAACGATAGCCGGCGTACACAGTGGCGATCAGCACGTATACGCTACGCAGGTTTTGAGGGGTCGACACATGCCGATTCTCAGCATCAGCAATCGCAGCCGTTGAGTTCATCGCAAATAATTCCCGCCGTAGCAAGGGCTTATTCCAGTGATGACGAGCACATCGTTGTCGCGCACTACCCGATAGGTGGCAGCAGGACGCCTATTTCGGCCGGCACGGCATCCACAATAAGACATCCGAGAATTGGGGAGCGGCACGATGAGTAAATCTACTCTCTCACAGACATATGGATCAAGGGCTGCAGCGGCTGACCGCAGGGTGAGCAGTTGCTTTGCCTAGTAAGCTAACGGGC